TACATCTGTATAATCCATTGCCTGGGGGCTGTCCCCAGGGGTAGACGTATCACCTCTTCCATGTAGCTCCTGTTAGGGTTAGAGTCTTCCAGAAAAGCGGGCAGCCGTGAGCCTTAGCAGGCACCACTTCCAGCTGCAGAGGAATTGGTGTACAGACCAGTGACACTGATCCAGACTGCACCCCCATAATGTCCACAACAGTCCAGACCTGGGTTTCAGTCCTAGCTCTTCCAGGGGACAGTGGAAGTGGAAGTGATTAATCTTTGGTGGCTCACTCAGCTGAGACTTATTGTAACCCTCTTTGAGCCACCTCCTCCAGTGAATCTTCCATTCAGTCACCTGACATTTATTTATTTATTTATATTGAGATAGAGTCTCACTCTTGCCCAGGCTGGAGGGCAGTGGTGCTATCTCAGCTCACAGCAACCTCCGCTTCCTGGGTTTAAGCGATTCTCCTGTCTCACCCTCCTGAGTAGCTGGGACTAAAGGTGTGTGCCACCACAGCTGGCTAATTTTTGTTTTTTGAGACGAGTCTCGTTCTGTTGCCCAAGCTGGAGTGCAATGGTGCGCTCTCGGCTCACCGCAACCTCCACCTCCTGGGTTCAAGCGATTCTCCTGCCTCAGCTTTCCAAAGTGCTGGGATTACAGGTGTGAGCTACCACACCTGGCTTAATTTTTGTATTTTTAGTAGAAATGGGGTTTCACCATATTGACCAGCCTGGTCTTGAACTCCTGGCCTCAAGTGATCCACCCACCTTGGCCTCCCAAAGTGCTGGGATTACAGGTGTGAGCCACCACACCTAGCCAACTGTTGTTTATTAAGCAGCTACTATGTGCTGGCCCTTTTTTGGATTCTGGGGTGACATGGAAAATAAGCCCTTCTTCTTTTCTCCCTTGGGGCTTGTGAACAGCTTAGCTAAGAAGCTGAGCTGTGCTGGGGCCAGTTGTGCTGGGTTTCCATCCTGGCTTTGCCACTTATGAGCTGCACGATCTTGGAGAAGTCACATCACTTCTCTGAGGCTTGGTTCCTTCACCTGCCAAATGAGATCAAGTGCTAAGAGCAATACTTGGCAGATCATAAGTGCTCAAAAGACAGTGGCTGTGATTGCTTTTGTTACTTTGCAGCCCAGTAGGACGAGGGCAGTACATTCTGTACTGTTGAACCTGTCACTCACTGGGTGAGCAATAATGGTGCTTCCCTTCAGACCAAGGCTCAAACTCCTAGGAAATGTTCTCCAGGGCCCTGGGCCTTACAGGCTCCTGACCTCTGGCCTCCGTCTTCACCAGGAACTGGAGAACCTGAACAAATGGGGCCTGAACATCTTTCGCGTGTCGGATTACGCCGGAGGGCGCTCTCTCACCTGCATCATGTACATGATATTCCAGGTGATGGGGACAGCCGGGAGTGGGCCCGGGTGAGAGGGGCTCAGATCTGGGCGTTGGGGGCTGGTGGAGGTTACCACCCTGCCCCTGCCTGCTTCAGGAGCGGGACCTGCTGAAGAAATTCCGCATCCCTGTGGACACGATGGTAACATACATGCTGACGCTGGAGGATCACTACCACGCTGACGTGGCCTACCACAACAGCCTGCATGCAGCCGACGTGCTGCAGTCCACCCACGTACTGCTGGCCACGCCTGCCCTAGATGTTAGTGTCTGTCCCGGCTCCAGGTCCCCATCTCTCTTTCCAACTGTCTCTTCAGCCTTCTGTGTGTCTCTCTGATCCCGTGTCTCTGACCTCCATCTCTTTTTGCCCCCTATTTCTCCCTTTTTTTTTTTTTTTTTT